ACCAACAAAAAACAAAACATCCACCCTAGCCCTGCTATGCTTTTCATCAACCAAGCAGGGGAACAAGGCCAAATTTTTGTCATCTGTCCAGCAGTAAGTAAGCCTTTTCTGATTAATAGAAATCTTTGATTTGGCAATTAACAAGGTGAGAAACCAAATTCTCCTGTGTCATACCCAGGTTACTCATCTGGGTCAAACCTATTGATTGAGAGAGATCTTTGACTTGATTGAGGTCAACTGCTTGAGAGGGCTTGGTTGCTTGAGAGTCAACAGTTGCATCAGACCAGCTTGTTTCTTGAGTTGAAGATTTGGCTTTCAGTGGTTGCATTGGCTGTTTCAGTGCAGGTGTTGACTACTGGAGTGATCAAAGGATTTGACAAGGCTGGTGGGTGAGTGCTGATCCTGGGACAAGTTCTGGCAGATGATCTTCAAAGCCAGGTCAAGACAGGAGCTAAAAAATTCCAGTGGTGTCTAATTGAAAATATGGGGTAAGAAATTGAGATTCTGACTTGAAATACAGCAAAATCACAGTATTTCAACTTGAAAGAAAATGGCAGAGCATTGAGATATAGTTTCTTGCAACAAAGGGTAGTTACGCTACGGATAACGGTAACGTAGCGATAACATAACGCAAAAATGGCAGTTATCGTTAGCGTTACCTGTAACGGAAAGTCTTTACATTACACTTTTTTTCGCTTTATTTTTGGGTGTGGCTCGTTACTTTATCGGCCAGAGAATGAGATTTTTCTTTTTCAGCGTTACGTTATCGCCCCAAGGGGTGATAACGAGTAATTAGGTGACAAACAGCAGAAAGAAACATTGGATCTACAATAAATAGTTATTTTTTGGGGGGGCGGGGAGCTATCGACAGTTTTAATATTCTTCCCGCCTCCTCAAAATCACCAGTGAGAGGCACCTCCTCCCGAAGCCACATCAGGCTGCTTACGCAGCGTGACATGGTCGATGGGAGCAAGCGACCCCGGTTGCTTGTACATACATCCGCTGCTGCCGAGAAAAGGCGCTCCACGGAACAAGAACTTCCAGATGCTCCTAAATATGCGCGAGCCATCCGTGAGAGCGCTGGGTAAGAGGTCTCATTGGCCTTCCACCATTTTAATGGGGTTGACTTCTGGTCTATCTCGTCGTCCTTGAAGAAGATGTCGGCCCTCAAAAACGATTCGACTTCGTTTTCGTGTGTGGTTGGTTTCTTGGCCATCCGTGAAGCCAGGCGCGCCCTAAACGACGATGAACTGGTGGTGGGTGGCTTTTCAATCTCCATAACTTCGGATTCTGGTACCGCTGGCCGAGAGTTAGCTTGATGCAGTTCCTTGTAGCTTGCAAAACGTAGATTGAGTAACTCGAGGCAGTGGTTGACCTCGCTGCTCTCTGGGCCGAATCCAAGCTCAAAGATGTGCATCCGAAAGCATGGATGCATTATTGTGGCAAGGATAAGGGTCTCGCAGTCCATGGCTTCATCGAGATACTTCTGAACTCTCTTCAGCATGGCATGGAACATTGGATATAACATATCCTTCTCCTCAGAACGTGCCAGCTTGTCAGTAAGCTGGTCTTTGAGCTCTATGTACTTTGGAAGTACATGGGCCCCGGTTGGCTGATTGCCTTCCATTTGAGCTGTAAGTTTCACAAAGACCTAATAGTAAGTGCGAGAATCGGGATATGATCAGTTATTGATATCAAGATCAAGAGAATTTAGAAAAGCACACCTCAAGTTCGCGGTTGAGATTATCGATGTCCTTCCAATCACGAGGAGTAAACCAAACATCTGAAAAATATTCAGACTTATTTTTTTCCTGATCCTCCTTGAGCAAGCGGTCAATGACTTCTCGAGCCATAATGGCTTTACGATGGCTCTCATACTTGATGTTCCATCGTATGCCATAGCCAGCGATCAAAGGAGCAACTTTAATTTTGACTTCTTCGGCCATTCGATCAAAACTGGCTCGCTGGGCTGCCGATCGAGTGATCTGTTTGATGACCACATCAAGCTTGTCGGTGAGTTCCTTGAGTCGCAGAGTTTTTTTGTGTTTAGCTTCACTAGACTTCTCAGTAGCTTTGGCCGCAGTGTCTTCTTTTTCATTGACAAATTCATCGGCCATACCAGTATCTGATAGCTCGTCGTCTGCATTCCCGTAATCGCTCTGTGAATCGTAATCCTTGTCTTTCAAAAAACCGACTATCACCGTGTGGGGATTGGCAGCTGATTGAATTTCAGTTGAGGGTTCGATGGATTCGGTTTCATCTTCCTCGAGAAGCCTTCCGAGGACTGGGAAGAAGCCTAGAACGGATTCCTTGGTTTTTCCAGGAGGTAGTGTTTTGAGGGACAGGGCCTCCAATCCAGCATTCACAATCAATGCTAGTTTATGGCAAAAGCATCGAATGTGCATGCTAGTTGGATCCCAGGAGTGTTCAGATTCGTTTGCGAGGTCGTTGTCATTTAGTAATTCATACATGGCACTGGCCATTGTATTGTTGTTTGCGCCTGAATCGGTAGTCTGGGCCAGCATTTTTTGATATAGATTTTTCTTTTTGAGTAAAGTAGCAATAGGCCGAGCAAGAAGATGCCCATAGTGCTTCCATGGGATCATCTTGAGGGCAAGATGACGGACAACATAATCCCACTTTGAGTCGATGTAAGCGACAGCAGCGCCGATGAAAGCAAACCTATTACCCTTTGTTGTCCAAACATCATGGATGAGGGTAAATTTGGTGTCAAGTTTCTGTTCAACAGAAAAAAAGAAGAACAAATTTAAATCAACTTGAATTCTCATTACACATATGAAAAGAAAGCATACCTCGAGATCATCAAAGACAGCAGTCTTTAGCATCAAGTATAGTTTCTTGGACTCGTCTGCCGACCACCGTTTGCCGTAGAGCGATGCTTTGTTGTTGGCATATTGGAAGGCGGCACGTAGATATGGATCTTCAATACGAGCCCAGGCAAGGGCCTGTCTAATTTGCCAGATCATGATAATCTGATTTAAGACCCGGTTGACAAATACGGGCTTTTCATGAAGGAACATGTTGATCGTTGGTTGCTTTGTATCGTTCAATCGTTTCTCCGCAACCGAGGGCGGTAATTTGATTCCGGCCTTCTTGGCCTGATCACGATTGACACAGCCTTTCGCATTCCTTCCTGCTTGATTGGATCCATCACGATGGGTTATAAGATTCCCGTCAGTCGATTCATGTCCGCGATAAACCTTGGAGCACCATCTACATTTAAAATTCAAGGGTTTTTCGCCTGTTTCACCTTCCTTGAAAAAAGGTGGATAAAAATAATCAAGCGGGTCGGCATATTTTTCCTCGACCTTTTTTTTCTCCTCTCTAGGTCTTATTTCGATCGATCCATCGCCAGAATCTTGATCGTAGTCATAATCTTCAGCAAGTTCAACTTCAGAGGATTTGCCCTTTCGGTCATCCAAACGCAACATGTAAAACACCCTCGATTAATATCTCGCTTGCTAAATCAACTACAAGGTATGTAAAGGTAACTACTTACCTCTTTCCCAGCAGCAGACTTCTTGCCCTTCCCCTTTGCACCCCTTTTTGGAACTTGATTTCTCTTGGGGGCCGCGGGCTTCTTTTTGGCAGTCCTCTTCTTACTTTTCTGAGATCCATCCCTGGCGGTGTGATTGGACCGGTCAGTGTCCGAAGTAGCGGGCGCCGGTCTTTTTCGAGAGCGGGGCTGAGAGATTGATACACGAGAGTCTGAGGATGGGGTGACCATATTTGGTACCACTGATACCGAAGTGGCACGTGAAGACCGACGCAGTTGGGATCGGTCACTTTGGTAGCCATTATTCTCAGCGGATTCGGAAGGCTGATTGGTGCTGGGGTTTATTGATGATTCAGTCATGGTTGGGTGATTTGGGAAATCTGGTAAGAGGAAAAGCGGTGCGATTTAAATGGACAAAAGATTAAATTTATGCCAATGGGAGTGTTTGAGGATGTTTGCTCAAGCCTCAAGCCACCGCCATTCCCAAAAGAAAATTTTCATTGCATTGGGGTCAGAGCCAGGGGTTAAACTCGGTATTACGGCCCGTTACTGGTGTTACACACTCGTTATCTTAGTTACTTTATCTGCCGGAGGGGCAAAGTAAAAAAAAAAAACCGTTACTCTACTCAGGTGACCAAAAAAAGGTCGTTACTAGTAACAGTAACGCACAAAAAGGTAATGTGGATAGTTACGTTACTCAAATTGCCGCGATAACGCAAAGTAACGTAACTACCCTTTGTTGTTTCTTGGATATATCTAAGATGTTGTACCTGCTTAACACACAAAGTCCATGAAATATGGCCAGTATCTTATTCACTTGAGACACGGCATCCATGATCTGGTTAGTATCTCTTTTGTGGAGGCCCAGGCCCATGACAAAGATACTGGTCAAAGGCCCAACTGCCTGTAAGAAACAACTCTCAAGTTACAATTTGAATCTCCCTAATAGATATGATCACAACAATGCACAGGCACAACAGGATAACCCCTGACATCCCCAAATGGGAATGGTTGATTAACAATCAGTAGTGGTGCGGGGGCATGCCTCTCATCCCTTTACTCTTTGGCACTGTAGCTCAGTTGGTAGAGCACATGCTTAACATCTTCCTTGATGAACGCATGTTGTCGTCGGTTCGAGCCCGGCCAGAGTCATCGAACCAATCGATCCCATGCAGGATCTACCACTTTTGCGCGCGACTAGAAGCCATCTCCATCTTCTTCTCAACGAAGACATCTAAACAATTTGATTCAGGTGAACCATTACATTTTTGGCCGGTTCAGGTATGTAGTTCATTGCTTTTTCGGCAGGTTGGGTCATTGGTTCACGATGGGTAGATACTGCCAGGGCAGAGGGACATGTATGGTTGAATGCTCGGTGGTCCCGAGGACCGAGGTTGGCTTTCCAAGTGACAGCTGGAAGCCGGCTTGAATACCACCCGGCGTTCCCGGGGTGAGTCAATGGTCACACCCTTGTTCCCAGCGAAATAAAAGTGAGTACTATGTCACTTTGCAGGAGTTGCAAGGAGGAGAATGTGGGATATGAGGGGATATTTAATCAATCCAATGCTTTCAAAAGACACACAAATCACAAATACAAAGGAAAATTAATCAAGAGGTTTGGTATATTTTTTTTTTCACATCGGTAAATACGATTTACTTTTCCTGTCTAACTGATTGTTGGAGGTCTGCAGCAATACATTCAAAAAAAAGGGTGAGGAAAGAAATTTGGTTAATCAATTGTAATGAGATAGTGCTTTTTCATAAAAAGAAAGGAGTAGAAATCCCGACTGTTCAAATGGGAAACTGGCTTCACAGATCAATAAAACAATTAAGCCCCTCCCGCTTTCCCTCAAAAAGAGGATGAATGAAATGATGCATAGAAGTCGTTGATTATGCAGATAATATCTAAATGATGCTTTGCAATCTCAACTCAAAACAAACGAAGCAAGATACCAGAGAAATTCTTGCGGTCATACAAAGAAAGATGAAGGATAATGAAAAGAAAGGAGAAAGGTTACTCACGATTTGGAAGCGAGATGTTCGAAAGCTTTGATAGTGCGATTGACTTTACGATGCAGGAGTGTTCTGAAGGTTTTTTGATCATCGAGAGAATCCAACTTATCACCCAAGGCTTCAGTAACAGAATCGAAGACAGTTTGGATGGCTGATCGGAGTTTGCCTTGTTTGACGAGACTTAGCCCATCCTGATCGATTTCGCTACCGGTCTTGGACTGATGGATCGCCAACAAAGAGCCCAAGATGACACTCAGGACGGAGAAATAACGCGACTCGGCATTCACAAGCACCGTGGGGTCGAGTTTTGAGCTAGCCGAGCTTTGCCTTGTGGTTGTTGCTGGGATGTCGAGCAATGGGCGTGGCAAGAGTTGGGTGATCAGGGATGATAAAGAGATGACTTGTGGCTTGGAATTAAGGATCGAAGATTGTGGGTGACGATCATCAAACTTCAGAGCCGTTCGGGATGGCGTCCGGCGAAGTCCTGTAGCGCTGGTAGACCTAGTTAAACCAGATCGACCGGGTGACAAGCTCACTGTGGAGCTTTGAGAGTTCGATAGGGCGAATCCTGTCAGTGCCGTAGGTACTGATCGTGTAACAGACTCGAGGAAACGCGACAGGAGCCGGGTTCGGAGTAGGTGATCGGCGGGTAAAATCTGAACAGGAAGAAAAGAAATTCACGAGAAACAAAGTAAATGATTTTGAATATCATAAGACGTTTTGTTTCGCGGCTTATTGGATAGGATAGAGCAAACAAAGATACGCACATTAACAAATACGTGCAAGTCGGTTGTTTCAAGACCGAGCATCCGGATGACGATATCCTCCCTCAATCGGCCCGGCTCTAGCAATTGAATCCCATCCAGTCGGTCGAGCTAATTGGGACAAAAAAGAGACACATTATCGAGATCTGTAAGCACCTGCGAAAATCGCTAAGTGCAGACGAGACCAAGACAAACCAGATGGAGGAGACGGATTGACAGCTCCTGGGCGCGAGCAAGTGAGTTGGTGGCACAGCCCCAAGAATAATCAGGGGAGGCAGAGTTTCGACCGAAAGGTTCGAATATGATATCGTATACTCGCGAGTCTATTCGGAACCCTTCCGCGGGCGCGTCACCCAGCTGTCTGAGGAAATGAGGAAAGCATATCTTGCCTCCCTTCGTAGTGGAGCCTTTTGAGTTTTCGGTTTGAATTTCGGGAACCCCTTGATTTTTGAAGTCGATCTCCCAGGCCGTGATGAGTAGATCGAGCAAGTCCCAGGCACCGGGACTGATAGTTTGTTTTGATGATTCGTCGAAAGTCAAGAGGATTTCCCAGATATTTGATGCATCTATTAGACGTCTGACGATCGGTTGATGATCTTGATTTTTGAAACTTTCCTTCGGAATCACCTCCAGGTCGGCTGACTTGCTATTGTTGTAACCGGGCAAACACCTCAAGAAATTGTCTGGTCCACTCGTTTTGAGGAACAGATCCAGAAAACTCCATGCTCTCCCAGCTACCTTCTTTCCGCTCACCACGATAGGGTCGGCGTGACTTGCTGGTACATGTGAGCGTAGGCAGAACATCGGGTGAACAACAAGTCCGATGAGCTGAAGCATGTGAGCGCTATCTTCAAAGAAAAGATACCAAAAGAAAAGAGAAGATAGCATCAGTACACTTGCCGTCAAATTAGAAATTAGAGATGCAGTAATGAGCGTACGGTACAGGGACCATTTTCCGACCAGTGAACTGTTCAATCAACGAAAAGAATCCTTCGACTAGATCCAAAGCCGTTCAGAATTTATTTTTTTATTTTTTCAGGAAAAGACAAGTCAGCAACAAGTCTGCATCGAGAATAAAACAGAATAGAGCAGGTTAATTCTCACTGACAATCATCATCCTGGCCGCCGTCTATCAGACAGACCCACTTGGTGGGCATGCTCAACACTTGAGGGTCAGCCATCGGATCAATTGGGTTGTTCTGCTGAGCCTGTGGGGCGAGTCGGTCGTGTGGGGTGGTGGGTGGAGGAAAGACTGCCGCTGAGCGCTGGTTGTCGACCGCGCGGGTCTCATGACCACCGGCAACACCCCGGGGACGCCGGGCACTAGCCCAGCACATATTCAAGCCGGCTTCCCGCTCATGGCACGTTGCCAACGGTCCCTACTGCAATGTCATTACATATTACATAAACAAATATTTAACCCTTGCAGTCTAACAATCGTCATCCGACTTGCCAAAAGGTAAATGGCCTGACTCAGGGAAAGCTCCGCGGCACCCAGCTTCTCGCCTGAACACAAAAACGGTGCCCAGGGGAACGCCTGCAACATCCTGACTCTGGCCGGGCTCGAACCGACGACAACATGCGTTTAGTAAACGGAAAGACTAATGTTAAGCATGTGCTCTACCAACTGACACACACCACGGTCATTTGCGTGTCGCCGCGGATGTAACCGTCACCTTGACGAATCCGCGTGCGTGACTGCGGCAGTAGGCGCAGTGACTGCGCACGAAACCCCCAATGAAACCCCCAGATGTCGCTCCGCGCGGGAGCGACATGCGATTGTCCGTGGTGACAGCTGGCAGCCCGTTGTCGCTGCGGCTGCGTGCGACACCCTGTCGCTGCAAATCAAAGTTCGCTGCGACAGATCAGCTGCCGCGACAGCTGTGTGCGACAAATGCTCTATGTATGCGACATTACTCAAATGCATGCGACAGATGAACCGCAATAACGTTGATGGTTCCAGAACATTCATACATACATATATATTCATGTGTCACTCTAGCACTTGTGACTTGCAAGCTTTATCAGCTCATGCACTGAAGAGCCTGTAGCTCATTTTGAACTTTTTTCGACAAACTGCCCACAACAAGACCTTCTCCCAGCTATCATTCCACATTGACATACATAGTTTACTCTCACCGCCACTTACTTTTCCTCTTCAACACACAAACTTTCAAGATGCAAGCTTCTCAGAACCCCTGGGCTCCACCTGCCCAAACAAGCAACGCACCAAACCCTACTGGCCAAGTCCATAACAATAATGTAGATGTTAGCCAAGCTATCCAGCAAGCACTTGATCGGCAAGCTGCTAAGCATTCAGAAGAAATGTCAAACCTAGCAAAGCGATTTGAAGCAAAACTCCTCGGAAAAGGAAAAGGGACATCGTCGAAGAAGAAGAACCCGCCAAGCACCCAAGCCAACCAACCCAGTACCTCTACCTCCTCGAAGGGGAAGCAAAGCACTGTCCCTAAGGCCCCACCGGTTTCAACCCCTCGAAGAATCGATCGAGCTGCTTCTGCCCCACCTCAGAGTGTTAACGTTACCCCGAAGAACAAATCGAAAGGACCTCTCAAGTCCGTCAGGGAGAGAATTGCCGAATCCAAAGGACCATCTCCGAAACGACATCCTCAACAGATGCAGACTGGAGACTTCCCCTCAGAATTCACCACGACCAAGGTTTGTCTTATCATTTTCATTTTAGCTTCTCGCGTGATTATAGAAAATTGATTTTTTTCTTATTAGAATGCAATGTTCATTCATATTAAGATCCTTTGGGGTCTTCTCAAGGAATCGTCTGTCCCCAAGGCCCCCGAATTACGTGATCTCCAAGAATTCTACAACCGGTTTTCAAACGATGCTCAAGTTCAAGCAGCGGCTTCTTCTACTCAGTCCCCTGGTATCATCAACTCGAGCGAGGTTCAATGCTTCAAGGATGTTCAAGGTGGCCGTATGAAACTTGGAAAATCGATTATTCACATTCCAGACAACCAGGTTCGGTACGCTCGTGGACTCCTGACCCGCCTTGGTTTGCGAGTTTGGTGCCCAAACCTTGAAGAGGACGCCACATCTCTCTACAATGCAGCTTGTCGCATTGCCGCCATCACCACCTTTCAAGAAATGGCGGTTTCCCACGCATACGATTATCTTAACATTAACCCGAAGATGGTAACCGCAACCGATCTCCTTATCCAAGCTTATAACCACTATGTTCACTTTGTGGTGTTCAAGAATTACAACAAAGAAAAGAAGGAAAGCGGAAAGATCGAAAAGGATTCTCTTAAAAGAAAGCACCAGAAGAATCGAGAGCGTGTAAGATTTTTTCATTCTCTCAGTATTGTAAATCTTCTGACTGAATGTTATCTGAAAACAGCTTCGAGATGAACGAGTGGCATTCGCAAGAGCAAACAAGTTGCCTACCCGCTACATCGAAATGTTACTACCTGTTGGGGCCCACAGCGATGACGAGGAATCAGAAAAGGGAAAATTTTGGAAAATAAAGACTCTTCCTTATCGCTCGGCAAATGTGGGGAAGTTTATGCGCCGATTAGATAACCGGATGATGGACGCAGCCATCCAAGAGCCAAACCACAAGCGCCGAATTCGTCGATTACCTAAAGAGCCTATCATTTCGGATTTCAAGACCGCACCAAAAGGACTCGCTCTTGACTTTTATGATCCTGACTGGTTTAAGAAACTATCGCCAGCTCAACAAAACACGATTCCAAACCGTCGCAAAGCCGCTCTGCTACCCAATGCAAATGAGTCACTCTTGCCAACAGGTCAAACTCATCCGGACGAAAAGTTAAAGGATACCACCTTTAACCGAATCTATCTCGACATCCATTCGGCTGCTTATGCACCTCCTAATGGAGATGAAGACGAGGTTTCATCTGGTGAAGAGAACGATGGCGAGGAGGAGGGCGAAGAAGGGGAAGGAAACGACAAGACTGGTGAAAGCTCCGATGCTTGCGATGACGAGTTCTTCGAAGAAGGTGATGCTGGGGATCTTTATGATCCACCAGCAAATTTCACTGACGATGAAGAAGTTGATGATGGTGATGATGATGGAGAAGAAGATGGCGATGACGATGATGACAACGACCAGGAGGATAGTAATGGTGAACTTATAGGTGCTGTTCACGATGATGATTACGATGAGGAAATGTATGGTTTAGATGGAGAGGCTCAATGGTCGTAAAACCCCATACATACACAAATGTAGTCTTTTTTCATTTCACTATCAAATGAACATGTTTTTGTTCTCTTATTCATTCCTCTTACCATATACACGAATACTTTTTTTTTCATTCCCCTCATCAAATACACGAATATTTCCTTTTTCATTCATCTTATCACAAACACGAATCCTGTTTTTATTTTTTTTCATTCCCCTCATCAAAAACACAAATATTTCCTTTTTCATTCATCTTATCACATACACGAATCTTGTTTTTTCCCTCCCCTACCTTTCTAAATCTCAAGCTCAATTATTACTGATATGTTCACATAACCAACAAAAGATTAAACAATTTTCTCATCAATTTCATTTCATTGCAGTTGACTGCAATCATACATGTTGGAAAACTTTTGGTTCGCTTGTTGAGAAATACAATGTGATTTTATTTCATCAGAGCAAAGAAGCAGATTGTTTTGAAAAGTGAGAAATATTCAAAATTGAAGAAACAAGAAAAATTTAACTAGTTGATATGTCAAGAAATGGTTTACGGTCTTGGGGGGTTAAAATGATACCGTTGTTTGGGATTCCTAAAGTATTGAGAGGTAAAAAACGGTATGCAGCTAGGGATATGACATCTTCAGGGCCCAGAAAAACCTTTCTTGCAAAATCAACCTGCCCTAAAACACACTTGTGAAGATAAAGGAGATGTCGGAACCGGGTTGTTGGGAGATAATGTCGTTTGGGGTATTGATCGACAATTTCGGAGACCATTATGACTGACCTTTTCCTCTTCAAGTGATCATTAAACTTGTAGATTTGGTGAACCAGAGAATATCGGATCTTCCGAGTGCTGTCTCTCCAGAGTATACAGTTATTTGGCTTGATAACTGAAACTCGCACGTTGTCAGCACAAACCATACTTTGTACAGGAGTTGCGCGTCCCATGAGTGGCTTTGCACCCTTTGGAACTGGGAAGGTATCCTTGTGCTCAGCGGTTGGATCGGTCTGTCTGACAAATGTCAGAAGGGCATCATAAACCTCATCGGAAAGGTAAATCTGCAACACTGATCTCCGATGATCATTAACCTCTTCGTCATCATCTTCATGCATCATCTCACTGTACTCAGTCTTATCGAGTAGCCTCTGCAGCTGAACCCCACGATACATCATTGTAACATTCATCTTATCTGGAAGAAAGAGGAAGATGCATCAGTTATCTGTAAAAAAATCAAATGGTTCAATGTAAAGCAAGAAAATACAAACCAATTTGATGATTTGTGTGAATCTTCTGCAAAGAACCAATAAGCCTCTCGCCCGCAAACTCGGAAATCGATAGCAGTGGTCCCCAGGTCCTTAGTTGCTCAGAAATGTGAATAGAGAAATGATGGTTTGGTTGGATCTTGGCATCGGGGAACAAATCGGACATTGACTTGCTGTAGTGTTTGTAGTTGACCTCAAACCGATGAATGTCAGATTCTTTGAGAGATCTCGAGCATACAATGTGTGTACACTGAACCAAGTAGCCAGTGTTGTACAGAAGCCGACATCGATTTGATTCCTTAGGTAGATTTCCAGGTTCATCGATAAAGAGGTCGAAAATTACCAGGGGAATTACATAAGCAAATAAGCTGTACCATTGTGCTGCACTAAGTCGGCCGTGCTTCTCTTCACCAAGGTTGGGTGGCAATCTTGAAATTCCAGATGGGAGAACCACATTTTCCATGCTTGATCGAAACCGTACAACATCGTCTTCTGAGAACAAGTTTCCGTTGGGGCCAGCATCAAGTAAGATATCATCCTCCTCATCGTCGCTGCTAGTGTCCTCAGATACTGTATCAATAAACATTAGTGAATCATCTATCCGTCTACGCTTGTGTGGTTGGTTATTTGATGCATTGATTTTTCGTTTGCGATCCTTGAGGTTTGAAGAGGAAAGGTAGAATCCCCAGCGATATCGAAAATGGGTTTGGAGAATCCCCTCAAGCCAGTTGTGCATCATCCCTAGGACAACATGACGAGTTGGATCCCAATAGCTGAGTCGGTTGAGATCGGACCATCGGACTCCAGATTTTTTCAGCAATTGGTCTTGTGCGTAAGATGATTTTGCTGTCGTCATTTCCTTTGCCGCCGAAATTGCAGAATCCTTCGTTCTTAGTGGTCCGAGTTGTAGTGAAGAGAGGTCGGCCGATTTAGCCAGACACCAAGAGCAAAAGTAAGTTGCGTTGTGATTTGCAAAACCAGCAGCCTTCTTTGTGGCAAGAATGTCGCCAACAACACACAGAAGCTTTACTTGAACCAACCGCTTGTTAGGATATTGATATGTTGGGATTAGAATTCCAGATTCGAGTCCAATTAACTCGTCAATGTGTGGACTCATGAGATGATTGACAGTCTGCGGATCTGGTGAATTGGGCCCCGGAGAGATTGCAGCCAGACAAATGTGAGAGGGTTTGTTGCGAATGTCGGGAGGAAGGTTAAGACAAGAAAACGTAATTACTCCAGTCGATTCGACCTTTCCAGCAATCTTGAGTCCCCGTGGATTGAACCAGTCGATAAACATAGATAACGCGATATTTAGAGAGTTGGGAGTATCATTCCATTTGATGTCCTTGAAGCCAGTACCATGTTGTATGTCTGTCATCCGATCACTGTTTCTAATTTGGTTCGACCAGTTCTCGATAGCTTCCTCGATTCCCTGCTTTCCCAGAAGCCAGATTAACCATGTAGTAATAGTCTGCCTAGCGTAAAGACACCGTGGAACACCAGCTGATTCAGGTAGAACATCCAAGGGCTTTGGTGGATGCAAGCCGAGATCCTTCAATCCACGAAATAACTTTTTTTGAACAAACAAGGGTTCATTGCATGGAGTTGAGGTTGAAAACTGTTGATATTCACAGAAAATGGGAGAAGATCGATCCAGTTTGTAGGTCTTGAAACAGGTGCGACAGCAGAGATCTTCGACTAGTTCAACGCCAAGTCCGGTGTTCTTGACAACAGTGCGAGGATCTTTGGGCAGCTTGTTGAGCATCGTAATTGGTATTGAGTTATTCTGAGCTTCCTTGATGATATTCATGATAATTCTGAGAGCAACAGCGCACTTTTCGCGACCGAGATTGCAGAATATATGCAGCCAACAAATAAACATGTAGATAAAGTCTTTCAAAAGCAAAACAAAATTGATAATCAGTTTGAGTGGATTTTGCCTAGTATTTTTAAGATGGTAGAGAAATACTAACAAATGAGACGGTTGTGTCTGGTCATAAGGAAACATTTCATTATATTCTGAAGAGTCGGTTATTGAAGCGGATTCAGTCTCTTCATTCTCGGTGGTTCCAGATTCGGACGGAAGTGCAACAGGCTTCGTGAAATCAGACAAACGATGTTTGGCTTCATTTCGAGAGGAGATGTGTTTTCCGTATATCTCCTGACCGTCGGAATTGTATCCAACGAGATTAATGCGGCAAACTGTACATTGGCATAGTACCATTGCGAAAGCGATCCGGAGTGCTTGAAACTAGAGAAAACAAGGTCGACGAGGCTCCTGTGAGATCGGTTGGTATGCTTTAGAGAGGATGGATTGAAGCGAGTCGTTCGAGATTGGAGTTGTATGCTTGAGAGGATTGATTGAAGCACGTCGTTCGAGATCGAAAGTGTTGGGTTGATTGTCCAATAAAACTGGATCCAAAAGACGAGGTGATAGTATTGTTTCGAGACCTACAAGCAGGCGGTCATCATCCCGATCACTAACAAGCTGTAGGTCTGAAAACAAGTTCACCAAGGGTTCGATCGTCTCCTGGCTAGCGGCAAAAACGAGTCGTTTGATCGATATCCAGTAGAGGGACGGGTGTTGATGATCGAAGTGATGACTGACGATTGTTCACTGATCCGGCGGTCTCTTCTGTCGCATCGGCGTTTGGCTTTGTCGCACCCAGGTTTGGTCTGTCGCTGCGGATGTCGCAGCAGGATGCGGGCTCAAACTTGAACCCGATCCGCAGCGACAGGTGTCGCAGCAAGCTGATGCGACAGCCGATTGACAGCTGTGTGAGCTACAGTGCCAAAGGGATCTGCCACGATGGACCTGCGCCCGCAGGAGTATGTATAGTTTGCCAATTATTAGAGCATCCACAATTGTGTCTGTAAGCCGGCGCAGTAAGCCCAATTTACAGACTCTGTATGAATATTCATACTATCATGCCCTCTTTAGGGGTCTTTAACAAACAAGTCATTAAGAATTTTGGTCCAGCTTGCTATATTTGCCAACAGCTACCGAGACTCCGTAAAGCAAATTTAGCAAGCCTACCATCAACCAAGCTACCCAAATGGCCACCAACACCCCGATCCCCTCCACCCCACTCAACACACAAGACTCCAATATTGACACCACCAATTCCAAGAGAAAAAGAGGGCCAAACTGGCTTTTTCCCATGAGGAAGAACAGCTGGCCATCTCATGGCTCAACATCAGCAAACAACCTGAATTTGCCACCAATCAGTTGGGCAAGACATTCTATCAAAAAATCAAAAATGATTTCAACACCTGCTTGAAGTCTCACTACTGTGATGCAGCCCAAATCAAAACCCGGTAAGCATCTCTGCTTCAGCTAATGATCTG